AAAAAAAAAAAAAAAAAAAAAAAAAAGCAAAAAACCGGCAATACTGACTATGTTTTTGAGTGGGGAGGGTGTGGATGATCAAGTCCAGGCAGTAGACCCAGTCTGTGCTTAGGCATCAGGCCAGGCTCAGGCTACCTGGCAAAGGCATTTGCTGCTAAGGCTCTGCTGTTTCCATGGCAGCTCACAGCCAATCAGGTTTGCCAGGCCTGTTGCTGGGGAGACCAACCAGCCTCCTCCCACTGCTTGATCTTCCAGCTACTGAGATCCATTTGTTTTCCCTGCACATGCCCACTCCCCATCTAGCCTAAAGTGCTCCCTGGTGCTCTGCCTTCCCCCTCCCCTGGCTTAAGGCCCTGGACTCTAACCTTCCAGATGCTCACACATGTATACAGATAGACATTCTCTGGCTCAGGCATCTAGTGTGGATATGACATGTACACACACATCCCTTGTCACCCATTATACAAATCCACTGAAGTATATTTAGACATATCTTGATCTCTGATCCTCTGAACCAGTCTCAGTATTAAACAAAATCCTTCAACTGTGCCCTCCCCTTTAAATAAAATCTAATATAAAAAATTCATATGTGTGAGTTGCATAAATCAGGGGCCTGTGGATTTCATTACAAATGGATGTTTGGCTCTCTTTAGATCTGGGCTACCTACTCCAGTCATCACAAGTCATCTGTAGCTATTAAACCCTTAAAACATGACTAACCTGAATTGAAATGATGTGCTATAGGTGTAAAATACATACTAGATGTCAAAGATTTAGTAAAAAAAAAAAAAGAGGAGGGGATGTAAAATATCTCATTTATAATTACATATTGACCATGGTTTGAAGTGGTAATATTTTGGATGTATTGGTTTAAATAAAAACATATTATTCAAGTGCACCTAATCTGTTTCTTTTTATTTTTTCATATAGTTACTAGAAGATTTAAAATCATGTGTTTGCCTTACATTATACCAGACAGCTCTGCTTTAAATAACAAGGTTCCTGAGGGATGAAAATGTAATCTGATTTGCAGAAAAAAATTTCATTTACCAGCAAGCCTCCTCCCTTCAAATCTTTATCAGTGGGTAAAGAACAGGAGGCAGAGGAGGCAAAGCTGAGAGGCACTTGGAAAATACGGTCCTTTTAGGTGGATAAGTCAGCCCAAGGCCCCAGCCTGAAATGCTATGGGCCTGTGGGCAGGCTGAACTGTGGTTGGGAATGCCCGCTCTGTCTCCTTGCCCAAGGCTGCTGCTCCCCACCTGAGGCCTGAAGGCTAGATTAGGTGCAAGGAGAGTAAGACTAGGGACATATCTGAGTTCTAAGAGGTTTCTGGGCCTGCACAAGGCAGTGCTCGTTGCTAATCCCACACACAGTGACACATGTCCCCACAAAAGTCACTGAGACACACTCACATTCTAACACGGCTTCCCTCAAATACCCAGCCACCCACAGTCACACCTACATCCACCTGTAGCAGCACTACAACTGCCTGGCCCTCGGCCTGCTCTTCCCCACTAGGCCCGAGGCCATGTGTCTGGGTCCTCCTTTAGGCACCAACCCCCTCCCCTGTCCCCAGGGTAGCTTCTCCCCTTAGCCCAGCTTTGGCCTCTGCACCCGATGCCCACCTGGCAGCGGCAATCTCCTGGCGCTGGCGGGCAGCACTCACTGCTCGACGGGCGCCCTCGACGGCCCGGTCCACCTTCTCCTTGACTTTGCCCCGCCGAAGGGCCAGAGGCAGAAGGCTGCGCACGCGCCCCCCGTGCACCAGCCTGTTGCGCTTGTACTGCCCTCTTCC